CACCTTCCACTGTGCCCTGAAGAATGGTCTTGGAGAGGTTATTGTGGCGCGTCACATGGCCAAACCACTGGAGTTTCCGCCTCTTCACAATGGCCGGCAGAGGATCATGGGAGCCTACCAGGCTGGTACATTTGTCCCAGATATAGTCATTGGTTTTTTGCTCTAAATAGGTAATGCCCATGAGCTTTCTGAGGCATTTGAATTCAAAGGCCTGAATCCTTCTCTCATCTTCAGCTAGAAGTGTCCATGCCTCACAACTGTATAGCAGGACGGAAACCACCAATGACTTGAACAGGAGGTACTTTGTGCAAAAGTTGATGCTTTTGCTTCTAAAGATCTTTTGGAGCCTTGACATTACAGCAGTTGCTGTAGCAATTCTGATATGGATTTCTGCTGTGCGAGAGCCATCTTTGGATAATGTTGCTCCCAAGTATTTAAATCCTTCTACCTCTTCAAGCTTTTGCCCTCCTATGGTAATGTTAGTGGTGGTGTCTTTACAGAAACAGAAGTGAAGAAGGGTGTAAAAAGAGGTTGAGTCAAAAGCGATACTTATGTCCCTTGTCTGTGTCCCTGCACTGTGGAGTCGCATGGTAGAGTCGATGGTCTTTACACTCTTCGATCTTCACAGGAGGGCTGCCGTGGTGTACTAACCTTTTTTATACCCGTTTGACAAAACGAAAATTTAATTCAGCTGAACACACTTTACTGTTTATCACAACAAAGGGCTAAGCAAGCGTACAACACTGACAAGGTATGCGATACAGTACGAGACCAAACGCAACAATTTTTCATCTAATAAATGCACTGTTGGTGAACAGAAGAGACTATGTTTCAAAAAATTTTAAAAATCTTACTGACCCCAAAATAAATTCTATTTAAAATTAATAAAACTTGTCCCTGGTCTCAGTGTCAATGATTCATCAGGTTATGTTATTCTAAATAAACATGTTTTTCATTGATATATTTCACCAAAATGTAATAATTTGCCCCACCTCTAAAACAACTAATGTCGGCTGTTGTATGTGCTGCAGTCTTGTCAGTTCTTCACTTGTCTATTATTCTCACAGTAATGCTGGTTAACATTCATGTAAATGTAATGGCAATAATAGTTTATAATGCTAGAATTGAAGAGTGTCCCCATTGGGATGTGTTTTTCCATCTTAAAAATATCTTTAAAAAAAATAATAATTATGACCTATGCTCTCAATGTCAAATGCAGAAACTTTAATTCATTAATTCATGACCTCAAGGTTAGATTATTGTAATGCTTTATTGGGTGGTTGCTCTGCACGCTTAATAAACAAACTCCAGCTGGTCCAAAATGCAGCAGCTAGAGTTCTTACTAGAACCAGGAAGTATGACCATATTAGCCCGGTTCTGTCAACTCATGCACTGGCTCTCGATTGAACATCATATATATTTTAACATCTTGCTAATTACTTATAAAGCCCTGAATGGTTCAGCTCCTCAGTACATGAGTGAGCTCTTATCACATTATAGTCCTTCACGTCCGCTGCAATCTCAAAACTCTGGCCATTTGATAATATCTAGAATATCAAAATCAACTGTGGGCGGGATTTAGGGTTAGGGTTAAAACAGATACTTTTCTTATTTAGTGCAGAAACTCTGGAACAATCTACCTAGTGTTGTTCGAGAGGCAGACACACTCTGTCAGTTTAAATCTAGATTAAAGACCCATCTCTTTAACCTGGCTTACACATAATACGGAAAAATTACTGTTATTGTCCTCTTGCATTATTGACAAACTATTTTCCTGTTTGACACTGTAAAGCTGCTTTAACACAACCTGTATTTTATAAAGCTCTATACAAATAAAGGTGACTTGACTTGACGTGTAATATGCTGACTGGGAAGTGTGTCCTTCAACCTCTATGTCGTCTTCTCAAGAGTGGGTGCCAGTGGTGATCCAGGCCAGTGGATCCCCCACAAACCACAGCAAACTCACATTCAGCTCTGACTTCAGGCTTGATATCTGGAGAGAGCAAACCATTTGCTTGGACTCCTTCACCATATGATGTATCCCAATCTTCAAGCAGAAGGAACTAGATGAGTACTCTGAATAATACCAGTCCACAATCTGACCTGTGTTGCAGCCTGGAATTAAACCACACCATGACTGAGCCTGGATTCTCCCAAGGTTTTTTTTCTTAATTTCTGTCACTAATGGAGTTTTGGTTCCTTGCCACTGTTGTCCTTTGACTTACTTAGTTGGGGACTTAATAGTTGGCAATATTTTCGACTTGACTGCACAGACACTATTGGAAGAGAACTGAACTGAGCTGGGCGATGACATCACTGTTCTACCAAGATGCTTTATAGATTAATTAAGCTCATTCCATAATTGATGAACTTCAGTTATTAAACTGAACTTAATCAACAATGAACTAATTTTAACTGAACAATTGACTGGTTACTATTGTCCTTTTTTTTTTAGAGCCACTTTACAGCAGAATTTAATTTTGTCTGTATCATTGAATTTTTTTTTTCGGTTTAACACTGTAAAGCTGCTTTGACACAATCTGTATTGTATAAAGCACTACATAAATAAAGGCGACTTGACATTAGCAACAATGGCAGTTACTCATCTAGAACAAAACCTCAAAAGAGCTCCCCAAACCAAGGAATCAGTCACTGGTAAAACTAACTACAAAGTAGTGAATTGTTTTTTTGTTTGTATCAGAATACATAGATATTCAGGACAGTCGTTCAATGAAGAGAATGCAGAGGACTATGCTAACCAGTCAAAGCTTGAACAATTATCTGTACTATTTTTTATGACCCAGTCAATTCTTAATGGAAAATACAAAAAAAAAAAAATGCAAATCCACATTATTTGTGGCTGCTGATATATCCGGTTTCACCTTGATAGCATAATTTCATTATGGATAACATTAACTATCAATTTCAAATAAAAGCACAACTAGTGTGTAGCTTTGGAGTAGCTTGTGATTAAAAGTAGTTTATTAGTTCAAATACACCAAAGAAGAGGCTATCACTTATTGACAAATACAGAAGACAGGTAACACAAAAGAAAAGAAAATGGTAAGATCAGACAAAGAGGGACAGTCAGATAAAGTCCATATACACTTGTGTATACACTCCCAAAATGGAAGAGGCACATCCTTCGGTTTCAACATTCCTTCCCAATAGGATTTTTTTTTTGTTTTTTTTTTTGGTGAAGATACAGGAAAGGATGTTAGCTTGTGCACTTGTATGAAATGTTACCGTTTTTCACATGCCTGGCATTGCCAACTTAAAGGACTTTTTTTTAAATCCAGTGATACTGTGATTTTTTTTTTTACTCCGAGTAATTTACAATTGAAGAACGAAAGGAGCATCTCTATTGTATACAGCAGGCAATTTGCACTATAGGCTAAAACGAAACACTTTGTAGCAGTACTGAGACAAAGCGATCGGATTTGGGCATTAAATGCTTGTATGGCACATTTTGGTCCGTGTTAGTGTTGCAGTGTCAGAACATTTCTCCCATTTTATATACACATTGGATGAATAGATATATAGACGTTTAGATTTGTCATCATTTTGCGCTTGCTTCAGAGCTCTTTCGTGGCAGGCCAGTGCTCGCTTATAGGAAGTAGTCAGGGGTGCGGCGGGTGACGTGAGGTTCTCCGCGTCGAGGAGCTGGATCAAACTGAAGGCTGGGGAAAAGAAGAAAAGCGTTTAAATGCACAGCTCACTGTTCAAATGACTTTCACTCCAAAACCTCAATAAGAAAGAAAATTGATTTTGCAGAAGGCATGACAATGAAGCATCATTTTAGGACTATTCAGATTTTTTGCACTGTGACATTTTAATGCAATTAAGCAAATTTTACCCCTCAGTTCTCATTGATTTTTTTTTTAATTCCCACTGTTCTTAATGGTGACTGTCATTAGTTTTTTTTACTGCTACCTATACAGGTTTAATATGCAATAGGGCTGCAACAAACGATTATTTTGATAATCGATTAATCGTCGATTATTCCACCAATTAATCAGTAGGCCTTGTTCTATTATTCTGCTTGTACAATTAGTTAAATTACTGAGTTGCACACATTCTAACTAATAAATAAAACAAGGTAATCACTTCAGCTTTGAAGTGAATGTCAAATGTCAAACAACTATATTACTGTTGTACAATTACAATTTGTTTTTACAATACAAATAAGAATATTTGGCACAAAATGAGATGACAGACACTTCCTCATTCACCAATTAATTAATTATATGCAGAAGTAATTGACTGAATGATGTGCTAAGACATTTTATTTTCGATAAATTATTTTATTCACAGCATAAAAAGCTCTTAAAACACCTTAAAAAAATCAAAACAGTCCTGAGCTAGATCAAGCTTTAATTTAATGCAAACCAAACTATCACTTTAATGTAATTATTTTTCATTTGTATTTATTTATTTTTGCATTCATTAATAAAAAGATTCTATCATTAGCTAGCTCCACACTGGACAGCTGCTTTATAGCAGAAAATCAAACTAATTCTAACTGAAAGGGAGACTGACACCGTGAGAGTTTTTTTTTCTTGTTTAATACTGTAAAGCTGCATGCTTTAAATCAATCTATTGTATGAAGCGCTATATAAATAAACGTGACGTGACTGTAGAGCCGATTGCAAAGCTGGTGCAAACTTAACCACATCGCTATGAACAGATGCTTTCTTAACTGCCGTTTTCTCACCGCTCTCATTTTTGTTGTATGTTTATTTCGTTATTGTGAGGAAAGCGCGCAGCACATATTTTCATATACATTTAAACTGCTTTCAGCAGCGTCAGGTTTTCTTCCAGGAGAGCTGCATTAGTCTTGTGCTACAGCGCCACACTAGTCAAAAAGCGTTATTGCAAGCTCTTACATCATATGAGATCAAATGTCTATTCGACAACAAAATTATTTGTCTACAATTTTTTTTATTGTCGACTAATCGATTCAGCCCTAATATGCAGTGAGGCATTTGTAAGTCCAACATTGGTGCTATGATAACACACTTGCAAAAGGTTTTCTGAACACTCCCATGAGTGGAATTTTGATGGCAATTACACACTTCACTTGCATTGCAGCAATAAGAATCTTCCTGTAAAATATGTTAGGGTTAACAGTCATAATTTTGAAGTAATGCCTTAGTCTTAGAAATAGGCTTCATTTTTATTCTTGAAGTGAACCAACTGAAATATAATTCAGACATGTTGTTGAAATCTCACTTTATATGATAGTACATATTTGAAAGATTATCATGAGAACCGCAACTTACAATGAATATTTAAGAGTATCGTCCAGTTCCATAATGGCTGCCTGGTTGCCACAGCGATAGCAGTAGTTTGGCGCACTGAAGATAGTGACAACGTTCCTATCATGACACCAGTTGTATCCCTGGAAAAAAAAAGTAGTTTTATTTGATCTGATTATCTTCATCCCACTGAAGGTTTGTGAAGAGTTGAATTGTGGATCCTACCTCCATGACCAGCTGATGAGCGCGGGACACCAGCGTGAGGCCGTTAGCGTGGTTGAAGGTCTCAGAAATGTCCTGTCCAAACGTGTAACCAGCTCCACGTGGAGAGATTCCCCAGCCACCGCGATCATCAGGGTCTGACCACAGCAGATCACACATGGGTCCCTGAAACACACACACAGATGTGCAGCCGTTCTCCATAAACCAGCCAAATATTTCATGTTTTATATAGATGCCACATATCTTAAACACACTTTAAATACTCAACATTTACAAGCATAGCTGTTATCTTGGTTATTTAATCTAAGGAGCTAATAAAAGTTGAAGAGGCAAAGTTTGGCTTAAAACCCATGAATCTGATCTTGATAAGAGCAAATGAAAGCCCATAATGCACTGCAGGTCATGGTGAACGAGCGTGAGAACATGCATCCTGCCTCAGCAGTGGCATCTGCCGCTGTGCGTGCAGTGTATACCATAAGCGCTCCAACTGACCTGACACACACTTCACCTGAGAACTTCAGTAATTATAACATGTCCCGTATTTCGGACAGCTGTTTAAAACCAGAACTAGCAATGCCATTCATTAATAATTTAGAGCATTTTGCATATTATTTATCCCAGTGAATTGGCCAAACAGGTTCGCAAAATTATCTGATTCGATTTGACATTCAGCTGGATTAGTTCAGAAAGAACAATTTGGAGTAGTTTCTCAGTCAGCAAAGCAGTTATCAGGACACTGAGAGCAAATCAAAGCTGGTGTACATTTATAGAGACAAGCAGAACAATATACAAGATAACCTTTCTGGATGGTTTTTGCTCCAAACGTGCATTGGGCAAGTGTTTTTTTTATTTGTTCTTTTTTTATTTATTTCAGCCGATCTCTGTTCTGGACTTGTACACAAAAAACATTGCAATCATTTTCTAAAATGTTATTTGTGTGGAAATATTACAAAGTCTGTAAACTGCTGTTAACAGAGGCCAGAAACACTGAAGACAGATGCAATGAGGAGAAAATACTGCACCAGTCAGAGCAAGATCACTGTTCCAACTTCCCGATACACAAAATATAGGAATAAAATCCTAAACACTGAATTAGGTTTGGGGGTTTATATGAATGTATCCCTGAGGAGAACTGACTGTCTTCAGAACAGTTTAGATGATATTTTCTTTTCATCTTGCCTCTGTATAATGCATATTAAAGTAGTGTTTATAAGCACAGCGCTGCTTTGTTTACAGAGGTAACCGGGAGAAACAACTCTATTTCTGCTGTTCTATAAGCACCACCTGCTGTCAGAGAGTGAATTCGCATTCTCATTCAGTCCGTCTGCTGTTTTGTTTCATGCAGATGTTTTACGTAACAAGTTCACAAAGCTTAAGTCAGACCATTCTGTTTTTGCTTCAAATTTTGAAATTACACAATCTAACTTAGATTAAAAACTGCTCGTGCTGCATGTATACAACATCTTTGTTTGGATCATGATTAAAAGACATTGGTTGCCTCTATTTTTAAATAGAAAGAGCAAAGTCTCAGTTTGTTTATATGAAGAAATGTATTTTATGTCTTATTTATTTGATTTGGGATTTCTTTTAGAATTTAAATTTAGTTTTTTTTTATTTGACATATTTCAATTGCACAAAGAAATGCGCAACATTTTGTACAAGCAAAATTTGTCTAATTTTGTAAAAAATAAACAAATAGTGAGAAAATAATATTGTAAAATCCGTATTGTGAATCATATCGCATTGTGAGTTGAGTGAATTGTTACATCCCTATTTATAACTATTTAAAATTTGCTACTGAAATGTGAGTTTGGCAAGTAGTTTTTAAGATAGATATGGAAATTTACTTCACGAACACTTTGGAATACACTAAGGTTGAACTCTTTTTAAAGAAAGCAAAGACCGGAATATTGAAGATAAAACTTTTTTTTTATTTAAAGTGCATAAAAGTTAAAATTTTCTGTAAAGAAAATTTACTGTAATTAAAATATACTTTATATAAAACAAATATTTTACAAAATATATTGGCATCTAACATTACTATAAAATCAAAGCCATATGTCTTTGAAATTACACAATCTAATTGAAATCAAAACTGCTCATGCTACATGTAGCATCTTTGTTTGGATCGTGATTGAAATGCATTGATTGCCAGTAATTTTTTTTAAATAGTCACAGATAGGTCGGACTGTAATAAACAAACATCTTGTTCATGTACTTATATTTATATTCAGTCCTGCCCTAATCCTAATTAACTAAATCAGCAATCAGTATCGGAATCTGCTAATTTGCTTGTAAAATAAAATTGAAACAGGCTATGAAAATTCAAGATCGGTGCATCACTAGTCAAAGTTATTAAACAGCCATTCACACTAAACATGTTTTGTTTCCACCCAAGCTGTTTCCTATGCAAACATGCACTAGATGGGTGTCGCTGACCACTACGATGTGTTGAATCAAATGTTTTGGTGTTGGTTTTGTGTCCCCTGTAAGAAATTATAGTCTGCCTCGACCCAGCTTCCACTCCAAATTGTGTATTAAACTATGCTCCTTTCTCTACAAAGAGCTTAATTATCATATAGATAGTTCTTTCCGATCTTAATCATATGTAAATAGTACCTCCGGAGCGATAATTTGTCACTTATAGCGTGGGAGAAGCAGCAGGTCGTCAAGAACCATCTGCTGACCAAAAGGGTACATGAAATAACTGCTATGGATTCTGTTTAATCTTATCACCTTAACATTTGGTTGTTCCCACTTGAGATGTGGGAACGGAAGGCTATCACTTTCATTGTCATCCGCAATGATTTGTCAGGGAAACCCCTTCCTTTAAAAAAAATCTAGAAAAGAAAGTGTAAGGATAGAAGATACGTTTATTCAGTATTAGCAGGAGGAGTTATTAAGCCTATTCGGTACAATTCTGTTTAAAATTCTAACGGAACTGAATTAACCCAACGTAGTGTGGTGGCAGAGCTGTATTGGAATCGTTGTTTCTAAAGTAACTGAAGCAAAGTGCTTAAGTTTAAAGTTTCTAAAGTAACTGAAACTTGTTGTTGGTCTCTTATAATTCTGTAAGATTCTAAAGTAATTGAATCAACCCGACGCAGTGTGGAGTCAAGCTGTGTAATCCAATTTCAGAAATGCTAGATTTGCAGGAAAATGAGAGTTGGGAAAGAGATTCTGACTCATTGAGAACTGAATATTCTGACTGCACAGCCAGATTCCCTATGGCACCAGTTCATGCTACTACAACTATGCGTGCTAGTGAAGGAGGAGAAGAACCAATGACCTCTACCATGGTCAGAGGGTTTAATCCAAATGAACTAGAAGCTGTGATCAACAACATTGGAAAATTTGATCCTGCCAAGCGAGATCCATTAGATTTCCTGAAAAAATTGGAAGAATATGCTGAGGTTTACAAATTTACAGATGGCGATGCATGTGTTTTGTTAAGAATGTGTCTGCCTGACACTTTGTCTGGAGCCTTAACTCAGAAAGTAAAGGACAGAACTGCAAATAAGTCAGAGAGGAAACAGGCATTGCTTGAAGTCTTAGGTGTGATGTCAGTTAACTGGGATAAAATATATGAAATGCAAATGAGGAAAGGGGAGCATCCAGCTACATTTTCAGAACGACTACTGGAGACGTTTAAAACGTTCAGTGGCAATTCTGATATTACTCAGAATGATGTCAGTTTCAAGTCTGCCTTGATTAACAAATGTGACCCATTCACCCATTCTGCTGTGACAATGCTTGTGACACCTCAATCTGAGTATAGTGACATTATTGCTAAGATGACACAATTTTACAATAATAATGCTAATACAAAGAAAATACATCCTGTGTCCGTAATAAGTGCTAAAAAGCCACATCAGAGCAGTGGTCGTAAGGTCTCTTGGGAAAGAGAAGACCATGTCAGTGAAGAAAGAGAGGAAAGACCACCTCCTTATAACCCTGATAATCTCCCAGTGTGCTATTCATGTGGCAAAGAGGGGCATATTTCTAGGGGATGTAAATTTTCCCTTAGAAATAGATTTTCATCAACTACAGGCTAAAGTAGACAGGCTGAGTAAGGAGAATGAGGAACTGCGTTCTCATATGGAGAAGCAGAGCTCTCACGGAAAGTTGTTTTCAGCATAGGGATCTAAGGCCTCCATAACACATGTAGCACCACTGTCACGAGACAATCATGGTAGACCAATCGTAAACATTGCTGTCGGAGGCCGATGCAATGATTGGTTAGTAGATTCTAAGTTATTCTTCATCAAGATCTTCGACGTCTTCACTTTTTCTTACACCCCTCACAACAACAGGAACCCTTCTGGAAAGATTTCACCTGATCCAGTAAAGTGCTTTTGATCTCTACAATGGGTGAGATCAGACCAGATCCATCAATCTAGGGCCGCATGATTTGGGGAAAACATTGAACTGACTCCAGTTGAATAACAACACTACTGTCTTCAGTAGAGCTGCTTATAGCCGAATTGAACTCGTTTCATAATGAATGAACTTTACACAGTTACTGAACTGAACCAACACTGACGTGACTGGAGCTGAATAAACACACTATTGTCTTGTTAGAGCTGCTTTACAGCAGAATTTGGATTTGCCTCATTTTTGAAGTTTGCATCACTTATTCTGTTACTTTTCTGTTTAATACTGTGAAGCTGCATTGAACAGCTTGAACATCGGTACTGTATAAAGCACTATAAAGCACCTCCTGCACATTGGACTCTTTAGTGAGAATCTCTTTAGCCTGGGGGTGTAAGAACAGGATAGTGTATCAGGCACAGGTGAATGCTGTGAAAGCAGGAAAATATCAGACAAGTACGTTTTGAAAGCCCAATCAGGGGTGCGTTTCCGAAAAGCATTGTTAGCCATCTACAGTAGCAAGTTCTATCATTACTAACACAGGTCAATAATTCTGTTTCCCTCAACCATAGCTTTAGTGAACATTCGCTTGACCTGAGGTTAGATGCAGAGTTTCATGTTAGTATAACATGACAAGCAAACTCATCATGGGTGAAAAAGGTCACTTAATGCGTTTTCTCTGATCGGATAGCCATCCAATTGTGAAAAGACCAGGTGTAAATGCCCTCCGAAACACTTCATTAACAACAGTTCTGTATTGTTGAACCAATGTGTGAGCATGGTGTGAGCATGCTCGGGGAACAGTCGTGACTAGATAGTCAGTTTCTGCAACGATGCATTGTACATCTAGAGTTTTTTTTTTTTAAAGACTGGAATACACTACACAACTTTTGCCCCAATTTTCCCCCGATTTACAGTCTGGATAAGTCGACGCTAGTCAGAGCTAGGGCTGGGCAAAAAAATTGATTTTCCAATTAATCGTTTTTTTTAAATGACGTCGATTCGATATCGATTCTCAAAAGCCGCGAATCGATCTTTTCCGAGCCAGTCTGCAGATACGAGTTGACAGATTTCATAGAAAGTCATGTAGCCTATGATGGTCACAGACTCAGATTTTTTAGCTTCAGACTAGGAATCCATCCAGTCGGAGGATATCAAACATGTTTTTTTTTTTGAGAACACACTGTTTTCATTTCTACATTTCTGCATGAGTTTGTTTTGATCAGAAGGACTTTAAAGTCTGGTAGTGTGTGATCCTCAGTCATTAGTGCATGAGGGCCAGTTTTTATCTGTGACTATTTACAACGTCGAGGAAGTGTATGATGCCTATTAACAATTTAAAATCTGTTCAGATTTTAAAAGTTGAGTAGTGCATTCCAGCCTTACGGAGGAGCTACACATATCCAGCCTTGTTCCACACAACTGAAGCATTAAGTTTGCTGTTTGGTGTTTGATCAAGCAAGTCACACATTTAGTGACCAGAACAAACAGTACACCCACTGTCCAGAACACGATTCCTCAACTCATGAGTCTTGTAGAAGAGAGGTGTGCTTTACTAAGAGACCAGGGAAGCACCACTCAAACTTTCATCAGAAAAGGCTGATAATATGGGCCACTAAAGCTAGAACACGCTGAAAATGCTCAGGATAACAGAAGCAGGTTTTAAACACGAAATATTAAAAGAAACCCGAGTACTTATCTGATAGACATGCATGTCTGCGCACTCTGTATTGCTGTGAAATCAAATCAATATCTGCTGAGAGAACAACCCCCATCACTACGGAGACAATATGAGTGTGTTTCCAAGGAGACATCTGGTCCCATTTCTATTTAGCACAGTAGGGAACACCTTTTTAATTTTACCCCTTTTTAACATAGTGCATGATTGTGTGCAGGAATACACAGATTTAGGCCAGGCAGTACAGATCAAGTACATATTAGGGACGGGCACTGTGGTCATGCGGTCTACTCGAGTACTCAGTATTTAGGGTGGGGGGCTATTTTTAAGTTTTTGCTCCATGTGTATACTTGTCAGAAAGACCGCTTTGATCACTGCATAACTTATCCATAAAAAAAAAGTGGAAAAAAAAAAAAAATGAACAAAAAAACTGCAAACTCAAAACAAAAAGCTTCATATTTTGTTATATGAAGACTTACTGGCCAACTCGGAGAAAAAAAAAGCATGTCTCTCTCTGCTCTTTCTGAAGAGCTATTTGGGTAACATTTAAAACGTCAGCATGGCAAGTTGTGACAGTAATGAGAAATGCCTCTGGATTAAGCAATATCACAGTGTGAGTGTGGTATTGCTCTATACAACAGTTCAATACACAAAAAATATTGAGTAAATTACAGTCAAGTAAGCAGAGTGATGAGTGGTCAACACAGCTTTGGTTCATCATATATTAGCAGAGCCCCCGCCCTAAGTGAGCCGCACAGAATCCGCCATGTTTATCTTCACGCTAGAGCATTTAAAAGCAGCATTCAAGTAAGAAATGTCTTCTTAATAAAGCTAGAAGTTATTAGGTCAACAGCAGTGAGTGATTTTCAGTTTTTATTTGTTTGGCTCATATTAACAGCGTAGACAGCAGTAGGTACTGTATATTATGCTGCTGTCACTTATAACACAGATCTAATATAAATCTAAATTAAATTATAAATATAAATTCTTTCCCAGCTGTTTACCTTCACAGACATAACAGACTGTGTTTATGGAACGTGTGTTTTTGACAAACTTGTGTGTATTTGACAGTTTAAGCGCAATAAGACATAAAAAGAGAGCTTTTTTTTACTCACATGCCATGTGACAGCCGCTTTCTGTGCACGTGCTTCGGAGGTGTGCTCTCAGAAAACCATATATCAGAAGTTTAAACTAACATGGCTTTAAAATGCATGATTTCAGCACGATAGACCTGATAATCAAAACCAAATAGATGTTTTGTTTTGGCAGAGTATCTGAAAGGCCCTATTCTGGAAAAGCGGTCGGGGAGCAGCAGCTAATTTGCATTTAAAGATACATGCACGAAAACAGCATGTTTCTGCTTCCACTTAAAATGGGCATTATCAAAATTATATAATAAATTATCTGTGGGGTATTTTGAACTGAAACTTCACAGATGCATTCTGGGGTCACCTGAGACTTATACTGAATCTTGTAAAAAGGGGCATAATAGGGGCCCTTTAATGACTGTGACCTCAACTGTAAATATGCAAATAACTTTTATAAAAAGCAATAAGGCTTTCGATGCCACACTACAGACTACAGTTGCCTAACAGTACCCTGACTGAATTCACAATATAGTTCTGAGTCTCATACCTTATTGCTTAAATGAAAACCATCTTCACTTCACACACACAGTAAAACACTCCTGATTAGGCATGGGCCGATTACCGGTTTCAAGGTATACCGCTACTTGAAAATTTCACGGTTTCAAAACCGCTAATATTTTCCGTTATACCATTCCTGCGGTATGCGCTGTTTTTCATGTCTCCTCAAAGACTGAAAGTGTAGGAATCCCTCATTCATTCAGAGCGTCGCTGTTTGCTTCGTTCAGGCATGTAGTAGTATAATTTCACAAAGATAGTCAGAACATTCTGTTTTTGCTTCAAATTGGGTTATTATTAAATCAAATTATGTATAAGAAATGTATAACTAAATGATATGAAATGATATAAATAATATTCTGTATGTTGCTCAAAAACAAAATATATTGTGTTCAGCGGGTTTGTGTTTTTTTTTTTTACTCAGTCATTTAAAAATAACACATTTTAGAGCTGTAACGACAATACCGTGAAACCGTGATATCTATGCTTAAGGTTATCATACCGTCAAAATCTCATACCGGCCCATGCCTACTCCTGATAAAGCCTTCCTACATTTAATTTCATCCAAAGAGACCTAAGTTGCATTGAATGCATGCATTTTATCAGGCATGTTCTGCTGTTTGAGCTACAGGAACGTATCCTTATGTTGACTGCAAGATTGCACTTTTTCACTTCTTGAATTTATTAATGAGAACTGTTTACCCTTCAGTTGTATAAAATTGATTTTTTTGGATCTACTTAAGAGCTCTGTTGAAGACTCTGTCATTTGAATCTATATCTATGGAGTCATGATGATATCACAGGTGTGATGTCGTCTAGTGAGGCAAGGTCTGTGTCATTTGTAAACGCAACTAGTGGTAGTGGCTGTCTTAAAGCAAATAGAGTGAATTTGCTGGAGGTTACTATTTAACCAGACAGGCAGTCCATTTCAAATCTACAAATAGCAAATAACACATCTACATAACAAATTACAGACACTGGAAAAGCAGGTAGAAAACAAATACATCCAACTCTAACCTATCTATATAGATTGACAACAACAATAGTGAACACTAACACTCTGACGTGTGTTGACTGTGGTGTTAATTCAGTCAAATGATACGATAAAAACTATAACACATTAAAATCATGAAATGGACAGACAGTGGCAGAATGTCTGGATGTACTGCTAACTTTTTGTTTAAAAATAATTAAAAAAAAACAGTTCGCATTTATATTTAGCCACAATTTAGAATACTTCACCATATTAAAAATAATAATAAGGTTCCTCATTTTTCTGTTATCGGTGTATGTTTGAATGCACATCTCATTCATCATGTCCAAAGAATCGTGGTGATTTTTTAAACATCCTAATTATCACACATTTTATTTTCTCTCAGAGCGTTCACTTACAATGATGTTAAGTTTAATAGTACCGTTTATGTTTATTAAACGATAAGTATAACCTAATGGTGTATTATGAACCTGACATTTTCTTTACCTTCTCGCAGAGTGTTCTCACTTGGTTCTCGGTCAGCTGTTTGCACTCATTCAGCTGTTCGATCCATTGGTCTAATTCTTTGGTGAACGCTTTATCATCCATCACCGGCGCGATTCCGCGGTAATCCTCACAGATTCTTCGTTAATTGAACGAGCAGCGAGCGCGCTGCCACACTCTCGCGCTGCGCTGGGCCGACGCGAAACACAGCCACCAAACACCGCTGTTAACCTCGGATATCAGCTCATTAAACACGAAATCCCGTGTCACGGGTATTTTTTATCTAGATTTGGCGGTAACTGATAGATGTCTTTTGACGGTGTCCGCAGTTGATGATTTTTCCGTTGACTCGTCGCGCTTCCGACCTTCCTCACGCGCTGTGTAATGGCTGTTGCGCTCGCCGCCCGTGACGTCATCGGAAAGGCACGCTTCGGAACGCTCTGAGCGATGTGCTGCCCCCTGCGGCCAGGAGGACCATTAACAACTCACAAATGACGGAAATTGATTTTAATAGATGTGTTCAAATGCCACGTATCTTTTCATTTTTTTAAATGAAGGTTATTCTATAAGCTTTCGTCATTTAATCAGTTATCCTGTATATGCAGTATAAAACCAGTAAGTCAGAAACACTAGACATCACATGCATCCCTGCACCTAATGCATAATGTTTAGCCAAGATTCCCGGTGTATGTTCGGCAATGAAAATAAATAAATACAAGTAAAAAATAATGTGCATATAATTTTTTTGTGCACGCAAACAAAAAATAGCAGAGAAATAGCCTAAACTGGGTTAGACCAATTATAGGTTTGTAAACATTCAGGATGCGCGCGCATCATGGCTGCAGAAAACCGAGATGGCCTTTACGGCTAGAGAATTTCACGGATACGGTACAAAATAGTTAGGTTTAAAAAGATTATAAATTATATTGATTAGATGTCATTTTCAAAATGTTCTCCGCATATTACAAGAGTTTGTCACCCAGCGATAAGTACTGTTATTCAACGAAATTGACGTTAGAGAGTGCGATAGTTTTACAGATCCGAAACAGGGGTGACGGGTTTTGTGGGCGGAGCCTATCTGGAGGCAGAAAATGAGGGTTTTCAAGCGGCAGTCAATGGAGCCATGGAATAAAAGAATTAAAAAAAGATAAATTTGATTTTATATTTCAAAATTCTGACTTTATTCTCGCAATTCCGAGATTATATCTCACAATTCTAAGAAGGAAAAACAACTCGTCATTCTCTCTTTTCCCCCCGGCTCTTCTGGCTTTTTTCCCTCAGATTTGACAAACTCACTATTTTTGAGTTCTTGACATCAAAAGGCACAAACATTTTTTTTTTATTTTATTCCATGGATTTTACCCATTTACCTCCACTTGTTCCCAGTGTTTTTCTGCAACCACTATGCACGCGCAGCTGCAAGTGACGTAACTGTGACGTCTACCCTAAATTGGTCTATTCTAGTTACTTACATCATGTGGAATTATTAATTCCAGAGATATTTGTGATAACACACAACTTGTGTGTTCTGTTGCTTTTTAAATAATAATAATAATAATAATAATAATTAAATATATATATATTTTTTAAATAGAATAAAAATAAACTTTAAAATAAAATGAGCAGTCACATTTGCCAAAAGAAGGACCCCATTATATGAAAAAAAAGTAGTCACCCTACAAGTTACATGTTTATAAACAGCAAAGTAATAAAACTCAGCACAGCAGAGTGAAATTGTTTGGTTTTGTAAATAGCTACTAAGATTGCATTACTGGACCTACCTATGTTAGAATCAGTGCAGTCTAGTAGTGCAAGTATCATGTTTCTAATGAATTTCTAATTAAATAAATGTGTAAGAGGTTTGAATGCAGCATTGTGATTAAGTAGGTTGATTGGCCAGTATATAGCAGAATAATTTGTCTATAAATATGTAGAATTATCAAACCATTTATTTATTCATGTTAACTTGTAGAAAACAAACGTCATTGAATTTCAGAGTTGTCCGACACTCAATCGTCGTTTACGGATACCATAGGAATAAATGAGAAATGCTGTAAGCTGTATCCCACCAGTCACAAAAAGTCAGTGACTTCTCTTATAAAACGGCATTTTTTTACTGGCAAACCGGAAGCGTTAGCATTAGCCGTTACGCTTTTTTTTGCTAAAGGTTGCAGGCTTGCCTTCTAGTGGCTTTGGATCAGCTCCAACCCTAATCAAACACACCTGGACAAGCTAATCAAGATCCAAGGTTTACTAGAAACCAACACGCAGGTTTGGTTTAATCAAGGTTGGAGCAAAACTCTGCAGGACTGTGGCTCTCCAGGACTGACGTTGGCCACTCCTGAACGAGTTCTTTGATGTAATTTACCTGTAAATAAAACCGACTTACAAAAATACATATCTCTGATTCAATCAAAGCTTGTAGTACATTAGCCCTAAATGGTGTTAGGATAATATCTAGTATCAGGGTGAATGGCTGCAGTGGAGCCTGTGGTGTATGTTTGTCCATTCAGAAGGAAGTAAGGGTAATGAATTGTTGTAATCGTGCTGGGCATAGGGACATGTGTCAAAGCCTGAACTGAGAGAGGAGGAGGTATCAAATTTGCATTCAAATGGCAATTTGGCAAACTATAAGGTTGTGTCATGGCTAAACTGAACTGGTTTACTTGTTCTTGTGAGAGCACAGGACAATGTGGCGCAGTGTTAGTTTGTTGATATTTAACACTGTCAAATGCTTGATGTGTAACACAAGAATCTCCTCGTAAAGTTGCTTGGGGAGCCGAGACTGAAGGCTGTTGAGGTCTTTGTATGTCTGCTATAGATCTCCTCTCATCAGAATGTGATAAAGTCGCTCGTATATTAGACAGATGAAGAGAATTTATTTCAGAGTGTGCATGAGACGTCGAAGGTGAAGGTGGGACTAAGTCAGAGGCGTTCCAGTCTGCAGCAGTGCTTCCAACCATTCCCCAATGCCCCGGATCCACTCTGTGAGGAAGAGTGTAGTAAGGGGTCAGGTTCTCAACATGGGTTGCAGAAGTTGTTTGGAAAAGGGGGTTCACAGCATTACATTGTGTTCGGGGTGAAAGAGATGCCCTGAAGATGTTGGAAAACATTTATTACCCACACATTTTAGAATTGTTAAAAATGTACTTAAAACCAATACATTAGAGGCTGATAAAAAAAAAAAAATCAGCATTTGATTCTTAAATTAAATAGCAAAAATGTCTCCTACCTCCTTTTAGCCATTTTATTAGCCACATCCTTGCCAGCCTTTACGCTCTATATTAGAAATAAATAAACAAACAGACATTTAGAAAGATTTACAATGTTTTTCTTTGCAACCAAATGGAATTAAACATCTCTATCATCCAATTCTAGCAGCTCTAACATCCTTGAGGTCAGATGTGAAATGTGACTTTCCATGTGAATGAGAATTTCCAGTGAGAAAAATTGTACTTTATTTGTTAGTAACTGATTATTGGATCGTAAAAAGTGGGTGTTATTGTTAATGTAAGGAGCCAGACAAAATGAGAGTTTGCTATAATAATGCATTATAAGCATTTTAAGGAAAAGTGATTTCAGAGCAAGTTTCATTTAAAAGTTAGCATTAAAGTTAACATTTTGATTTCATGTTGACTTTCAATCTTCACATGGTATACCTACCAAAATCTTACCTGTGCAACACTGGGTTGAGAGGACGTCCATAACTGCAAACCTTTGCGTTTCCGAGCAGCATCACTCTGTTGTTTTGTTGGGGTCTCTGCTCCATCCATAGACAGAGGGGGCTGTTCCACTTTGTTTACGAGAGAAACACCTGACTCCGTCACCCCAAAAATAATCTGCGGGTTTGAATTCTTATGTGTCTTGAGAACCTCACTTGGTGCACAATGACTCATGTCTTGCCATACAAGAACCTTAGAGGCATCATAAAGAAGGTGTTCGATTCCAAACCATGATACTTTGCTAATCATTTCTTTGCATGACTTCATGAAAAGAGCTTTTTCTTGGAGATATCTGCATGTGATGGACAGATGCTCTGCTTTGCCCACATCAAATGTCCCTGGCAACTGATCTGAAGGTGTTTCCACAAAAGTCATTATCACTTTGTGTATCTTTTCCAATCTTTCTAAACTGTCTCCCAAATTGATCATTGCAGACATTGGTACAGATAAAAAGAAGCTTTTAATGTTGTGGGGATTTCTGAGTGCAGCCTCAGCCTCAAGGAGCTCACGCTTACTCTTCAGATACATGTAGTAAGATGCATCAGGGGCCGCATGGAGCTGTTGGTGCAAGGAGGACACTGCACTGTAGTATTCCTGCAGTTTACTGTAGCCCTCTTGTGCTAAGATCTTTTGAAAAGAAGCTAACAACGACGACTGCTGCTGAAAGCCAACCTCCCCTTTGTAGAGTTCTCCATAAAGAGAAGGGTCATACCATAGCAAACTCCTAAACGTGGGTTTACTGCTCAGAAAGTTAATTTTGTTTTCTACAAACTGCCAAGCTTCCATCATCATCTGCAACTCCAAGTAAGAATTCACCGCTTCATATTTCAGGTCTACTTGTGCAGGTGGACGGTCCAAATATTGCTCTAAGATGAGACATCTTGAAACGAAATATTGGTTGAATGGCACTTTCTGGTCTTGTTCAAAACCTGAGATAAAATGCTGCAACATGCTTTTGCATTTAGACTGCAAAGATCCAAGTTCGGTTAATGAGGTTGTTTGATCTGCCATTTTAAGAGTATTTGAAATGTCACTGATGCTGTATTTATTGTCAGCGAATGTACTGCTCACATTGCCATCATCAACGATTTTTATGGTATTCAAAGATTGTTTCTTTTGACTCTTTTGCTTACATAAACTATTCAAACTCATTGAGGGATTTTGTTGGCCTGTTGTGTTTATTCTTTGCATTTGTAACTGGGCATTAAGGGTGTTATTGATGGAGATTTTTGGAAAAACAGCGTTCCGGTCGTTCACCTGGGGCAAAGGGTGAGGACTGTTATCTTTGACGGTGTCTATAGCACTGGTACTGTCAGGACTGACACTAGTGACTGAGCTCCTCCTTGATCTTTGCTTGCTGGTTCGTTTGGTTTGAGAAGATCGTCGGCCTCTCTTAGATTCAACAGGCACTAGTAGGCAAACATCGGTTCCATTCTGAGCGTGTTCACTTCGAAGAACCTTCCTAGTTTGAACAGAGTTTTTGGTGTATTCACTTGAATTGTCTTTTTTAACAGCTTCACCCCCATGAGGTATCAGGCAGGGAACATTTACCATACAATACTGGCTTTTTTCAAACAACTGCTTTTTATGTGCTGTGCTGTCAAGTGTTATCCACACCACTGGTCTTTCTTTAAGCTCTTCATTCACTGCTTCTTGTTTCTTGACAGTGGACTCAAATTTGGACAAATAATCTCTTAGTTTAGAAATGAGCTGGGTTTCTGGTGAGTTTGCCTCATTAATTTTGTTTTGGTCTGGCTTTGATAATTTACAGTTGTCTCTGATTGCCAGAGTACTTGGTGATTTGGTAGAACCAAGCAAACTAGTGTTGCTGCACTTCTTTGTATGTTCTGAAGAAATCTTACATTGGACACTCAAAGCTGGATCATCAACAGTAAGATCTACAGCATTATTTGATGAATACTTCAAAGCCTTTGGACCACACTGCTTTGAATCTGATGTTGTGTCTTCAAATGCCTCCGAATCAGTATTCCAAACACTTCTGACATTAGATGTGCTGGTAAACATTTTGAGACATGATTGGTTCATATGTGGGATATTTGCTGACATGTTTTCTGTTCCTTCAAAGCACTGTACATTTAGAGTATTTTTCATACTTGCATTTTGCTCACTACATTTTATAGTGTCTGTCTCAGCCATAGCATTGATAGTATCCATCACCCTGGCTTCTGGAGTCATGTTTGTATGGAGTTCAGTTTTATGACTGTTGATTGTGTTGCTTGCAGGCACATCACTGTGTGTTTCTGATGCCTCACAATCATGTATACTCAAAGCATCTACATTGTCATCTACTGTGATTTTCATTGTGAAATGCTCCTTGCTTAATGGATTCAGTCCAGTCTCTGATGTCAAATTCAGCAACATGTTCTCCTCTTTGCACTCTGTGTTACTCCCATGTTCTTTGCTAGTGCATGTGATCAAGGATGTTTGGCTTTGATTGGAGATGTTTTCAGTTGTCTTCACTTGTTCTCCTTTATCCACCATTACTGGGATTAGATTTGGAGTAAAATCTTCTGTTGCCTTCTCAGTGTAGACTGAATCACTTTTATAGATATCTTCTGTAAGTGGTTCTGTAGGATTTATTGGGTCCTCTATTGGTTTGGTCTCAGGAAGAGTGGCATTAGCCTCCTGAGAACCCTGAACATGTGATGATTGTCTGTCATCAGATGTGTGAGAGTCTGGGTCTTGATCTTCGTGTTCTGTAAGGACTATTTCAGACGGACTGTTTGAAGGGTCTGATGTTGCTTTGCTGTTTACCGTTTCATGGGGGCTCTCAGCTGACACAGTTGTTCTGCTAAGATTCCTCTTTGCTTTCCAAAAGCGTGTCTTTTTGACATATATGCTCCTCTTTAGAGAGTGACGTAGTGATAGAACAACATGCTGTTTTTTGAGACATGGCTTCTTACTGCCTGGTCTGCTCAAGCTCTTCCGTTTCACATGCATTTTAGATTTACTGTACCTCTGAGCTAGTAGTTGTATTAGTTCAACATTACAAGTTGCAGTTTCTTTGTATCCTTTGCTACTGCACATTTGGATCCTTGGGCTTTGAATCATTTCATTGTTTCTTTCACTCAATTTCTTTTGAAGGCCTTTCATTTTTGAAAATCGCTCAGAGAGAGAAAGCACTTCTGTAGTATGGGCAGAGGTTTTGCTGGCTTTTAGAGTAACTTTGAGATGGATATCTTCCCAGAATCTCATGTTTAGGTTCGTTTCAGCTTTGCTGTGATCTTTGCTTTCATTTTTTAGCTTGGAAATGTTGTCTGCAGGTCTGCCCATATCTCTGTTTGTACTTGAGGAGAAAACATGCTTTGGAAGCATGCTTGGCAAAAGTTGATCAAGTTGAATTCTTTTGTACAATTCCCAGTGAGTACTGTTGTCCTGCTTTACTGTTTCCATGTCGAGCTCTGGAGATCTTTCAGAGTCTTCACAGCAACTTTTCCCATTCTGCTTTTGCTTTACTGCCATGGTAAGACTGAGATCACAGTTGTCTGATGTCCCACAACTAGAGACTACAACACAGCTTGCGATATCCATGACTGTGTTATCCATGATATTGTTTGTATACGTAAGGTATGCTTCAGTGCTGGGCTTTTCAACCAAGTTAACACCTGGAGTAGATTCATTCTCTTGCAAGTCCTGTACTGCGAGCTCACTTTCACATTCTAAGCTGTGATTAAGCTTAGCTTCATTAGAGGGACAAGTTAAAGGATTTGGGTGTTTGAGATCAAGCTGTACATTTTGTGCATCAGTTTTCTCATCTGTGAGGTTGAGATTCAGTGATCTCAGCACCAAGGATTGCTCTGAAAGTTTATCTGGAGACTGAAGCAGACATCTATCGGGATGGTCCTGGTGAGTCTCTGGTGCTTGACCCTGTCCCTTTTCTGTCAACATTACTGCACTCGATTCTTGATGATATGGATGACTGGTTTTATGAATGTGTGTTGTGCTACATTTATCCCTGTTAACAAAATCATTGTTATCTGACAAACTTGCAACATCATGACGTTTTGGTTTGCACACATAGGACTGATTGTGCTTGTATGTATTGTCTTTTGTCTGTAGAATGTGATTTTCTTTGGGCTCTCTTTGAGGCAGCCTGGAGGTCTTCTTTGTCTCATTGACATTTTGAAAGATCAATCCCTCTTTATACTTCTGATAATAAACTTCATAAAAATGTATATGGTCAGCTAATTCTTGCTTTTGTTCTGGTGACATGTTTTCTTGTGACCAAATTTTGTGATGCCTCTCTTCCTGACTCATTCTAAAGTAGGCAGCATATTTTTGGAATTTAATTTTGAATAACTTCATTGAGGGCAACGTTGTGGTATGCGCACATTGATCAATCTTTGAGGATTCCCTTTGAGTGTCCTTCTTGTCTGTGTCTGATGGCTCTTTTGAATCACAAGTATTTCCAGCAAATCCACAATTGTCTTCTTGGTTTTTATCGGCTGGTTGGCATTTTCTATTATCACATCCTGATCCAGTGTATGCTACCATGGCATCTGAACAGTTGGTCTGTTGATTTGCTTCTTGTCTAGATAGACGAGGATCCCTAACCAAGCGTGAAGAATACACTATGGTAGAAATTTTGTCCAACGGACTTTGAGGTACTGTGTCCCATGTATTGTCATTTCCTCCATGTGTGCTTGCAGTATTTTTTTTGTGATTACTCAGGAATGCTTTCTTTCCCAGCAAGCTTTGGGAGACAGCAGTGTGATCCATAACTGGCCCTGAACTGCTGGAAGATTCTGAGTCCTCACTGGCAGCAATCCAGTGCTGTTTTGGGTTGAATGACTGAGTGTTTTGCATATCGCTCTTTTTAAGTGGAGCTTCTACTTCTGGATTCTGAGGTGTATAATCTGTCTCAAAGCAGCCCGGCGTGCCAAAGTGTTTGAATGTAATGGTGGCAGTGTCTCCTTTTCCTCTTATCTTTGCCACAGTACATGCCTTAAAATGGTCTGTTGTATTTTTCAGGAATAAAATAATCACACACATTATTGATTAAAAGACTTGATGCATTATAAACACTAAGACATACATTTCTGCATATGAATTGTGAAAAGTGCTATAGAAATAAACTTGACTTGATAATGATGAGCATGTATTTGATGTCTTAATAAAAAAGGTTTGTGTTTTATCTCACCATGCACTTGGCCAATAGGTAGCGCTGAAGCTGAGAGTGGTAGGTTTGTAGGCACAGTCAGAATGGCACTGCTGGCAGGAACAAATGAAACTACAGCATACGGCAAACACTGCCTGGGTCTTTCAGTGAGCTCCTGCTTCTCGTTAAAGTCAAACAGAAAAACCTAGAAGAACAATGTTTTATTAAGACTCCTGTTGACTATCCAGTCCATTTGATCGGATAATTTGTTATTCTGAGATTAAATCAACTCACAGAGGAGCCCAGAACTTGCTGGTGAAGAGTGTCTCGATGGGACACTGCATCTTTACACATGTGACAGTCAAAGCCCAGAGTGGGATCTTGCGTTTTGTTCCAGTCCAGGCTTGGGGCGATTTTTTTCACCTTTCCATAAAGAACCTGAAGCCCCGAATCACAAAAATGTTCACTATTGTCATTCCATTAATAAACGTAATTTCACAATTCTTAGACTGTAGAGGACACAGGAAACATTAAACAAACCTTGAAAATTACTAGTTTTTTTGCACTTAATACGTTGGTATTGGATTTCAGAGCCACATCGACATGCCTAAAGAGATATACTCCGTGTGATGGCTTTCCCAAGGCATACTGGACAGTGCTGCCAACCCGTAGACCGTGCTGATAAATCTGGGCCGCCATTTGGTCCGATGCAACTAAAAAACAAAATCTTTCTTCCATTTCTCTCCCATGTCTTCCTTTAGCACGCATCTCTGCCCTGTAGTCAGTTGATGAGCGGTGACAGATATGCAATGAAAAGCAACATTCGTTTAATGTGGAAAAATCTTTTACATTTCTGAATGTACAGCTACAGAAGGTAACAAATAAAGCAGCATCATTGAAGGTGCCGCATGCACAAGAGCAAAGCCTGCAACTGCACTGGAAAATGTAGCGACTGGCCAGCATGTTATTGTATGTTGCATTTTTATGTCATTACCTTTTTTCGGAGAACATTTTAAGAAGCTCCTCATTGTGCACTAAACAAACATCTTTCCAGACCCATGCATTTGCTCGGTCCTTTCTAGTGTCCAGCTTGGCATCTCTCAGTTTTGTCTGAATGAGATTGTAGTCGCGGCTTTCCTCTGAACAACATTCCAAAAGGACTGACCGAAAAGAAGTCAAAAAGCACTTTTTAAAAACAGCTGATGAATTTAACAGTAGCTCTGGATTATGACAGCACCATCATGAAACAGTTTGGATGTTTAGTATGCTATCACAAAGATTATTTTGTTGATTTGGATTTTGAGAAAATCTAGTAAAACCTTCTCCAGAGGTTCGTTTCTTCCTGGGTATGGTGAAGTTCTTCAGTGTCAGGGTCCCTGTTAATGTTGACTGGTGTGATCTGGAGCCCTCTAATGTCTCCTCACGCTGTCTTTTCTCCATACTGGTTTACAACTGAATTTCACCCTGAAAAACATTAATCTAACATGTAAAAAGAGAGTCTATATTTCATCTGATGACAATTTCTCAGCAGATATTCCCAAAACTTTTATAAACTGTCACCCGCTTTACAAGTGCCAGGCAAACAGATAAAACACAGCCGATTTGCTCTTTCACTACATACAGTTGGTTCCTTTTGTGTTTATATATAACTGCCTTTAGAATGAATATAAGGAAAAAACTAATTCTCACCAAATGTCAAGGCAGCGAGAGCTTCACTGTTGTCCAGATTATATTTATGCTGTAGTGCTCACAAACATGAACTTTGCATAAATGTTGTTATTCTTGGTCAGCTCTTTGTTTGTACTATTTACCATGTGACTGTATGACCACAAAAAGTCATTGAATTTTTTCAACAACCTTTTCAACAGTCTAATAAGATGCTAAATGGCAAAAGGGGTGTTGTAGAAATCTTTACTGAGAAAAAAAAAGAAATGCATCTTGGAAAATAATCACACTGCCACAGCATGAAATGTACATGTAGACACAGGTATTTAAGCTTTTACATGTCTAAAAAAAGCAGCCTTCAGAAGTGGTCAGTTCAGCGCTACTAAACTCAAGGTTTAGGGAATGTTGCTATAATTCAACATTGAAAATCACATAGCTTCCTGTGAAAGATTTGGCTAAAGGTGTATTATTAGTAGCATTTAGTATTACTACATGTTGGTTATGTTTCACACAACAGCATGACAGTGTGAAAACATAGCTATGTACAGTATATATGTGAAATGTTTATATACAAGTAAAATCGCGTCTACACTATAACCGAGCAAACAAACGAACAGGTATCAACACATTGCAAGAAATAATCGTTTCAACTTGAAAGATCAAAATTATGGGTACTTACCATCATGTAAAATGGCAGTTGAGCATGTATGACATGATCTAAGATGTCTTGGCAGGGAACTGTGCGAAGTTTGTCACTTCAGTTTGAGGAACATCAAGTGAGACATACCAAAAAGGAAATCGCTTGACCTCAAATGCTGAACAGCAAAGGCACAGGAACTTACCTAGTACTGTTACTAACACCACGGGTTCTTCTTTAGTCCAACCACCAATGAGCCTTGCAAAATACCACCCACATAGACAAGAGATGTAGATATATAGATGAGATACATATATATATATATAAATTTTAGTATTATACTATTTGAGAATTTCTACTTGATATATGGGTCAAAGGTTGCCACAGGGCTTCATATGAGAAAACACTGCTCATCAGAAAAAGCATAGCCTACTGTATATATTCCTGTGCCTTGTTTTTTCAATGTATAAACATTCTAGATGACACTACAATCTGAATAAAATGGTTGTTTCATCTCTGTTTTTTTGTACAGACATTATTTAATTACACCGTTTCCAATGACCAACATGTGTATTGTATTGTTTCAGACAGATGCTCTTTGGATCATTTATGCAAGAGGGGAAATGATTTTTACTTAGAGGTGTGCACCAACTGACCATCATTCTCAGAAAGAGAAGCTTCTATTTTCAGCGTTTACACCCTTCATCACACCGCATATGAAGCTGCTTCCTTTTTTGTGTTTTTTTTTCCTTCTTGCGGATGATTCTGATCTCTGACAAAAGCTCTTAAAACACTTACACATCCTAAAAAAATTCCTTGCTGCAACTATGTGATTAAATCCTTCAGAAATAACCAGTATTTCTGAAAGAAAAGACCAGAGAGGTTAAGATCGGGTGGCTATCAGAAATCATGGCTCAGCGCTTGAGCTCAAATGACCATGAGTCAGAGGGATATTTCTTCCTGACACATGTGGAAGAGCATTACAGTTAAGATTCAGTATGCTATGTTGCATATATCTAGCCCAACAAAAGCACATAACGTCTCAAAAATAAGAAGGCCTGACGCTTCGATCTTGAAGCCTAAATCAGCTGGTTATTGCATTGACTGAAGCACAAATGTAAAAAAACTATTGAACATTTGCATTTTCTATGTACAAACGACTTCCAATAATAAGTTATGAACTCACTTTAATGTGGAAAAAGATAAAAAGTGTCAATAATATAATATTAGCCAATGATATCTGAAGAGTTGATCAAAACACATTTTAAACATAAAATGTTGTATTTTATTAGATTGTCTGTGGAACGTTTACACACAAATATTGGGTAACTGTAAATAAGCATCACACATTTCAGCATGTACTTTGGTGAGGATTTCCGCCATGAGACGTCTACCGATTCAAGTTCTCACCCGCCAGTTTTATAATGTGCTGTGTTATTCACTGTGAAGACTGAGTATCAGCCGTGGCAGATGGGCTGCTCCCTGGTTGCATGTCTGACATATTTTTGCAACTTCAACATGAACAAACGCACCTTTCTTATGCCATCCTGTTCAAAGCAACCTTAATTGGAGAATAAAGCCAGACTTGTGTGCAGGGAGCCTCCACACGCGACTGGACAGACACAGACGAGCGTCTGGAAGTATGCATGATTTACAGTTACGCAAAACTGCTCGCGTTGAGAAAGGGCATCTTGTCGTCAATCTCGAGACTGAAAAGCCTCGGGTTTGCTCTACTGTTTCAATTGTCATTCATCATGCATGCAGCTAGGGTCCAGTTCAGCACCTTTATATGTTCTCATATAGCACCATTTTTCATATATATTTGAAGTTTGTCAGGACCCTACTGTTGGCATGCACGAACGTCAAATTTAAAACTTCATATTTCGTCAGATATGTATCCTACATATTTCAACCTTTTAAAACATTACAAGGCAAATCAGGAATATTCATACTGTACCATACATGTTAAACAGAAACTAATACAGTACTCAAGTGAAAAGAAAGTGCTACTAGACAGAACCATTTCTTTCTTGTTTTTGAGTCGTATAATATTCGAAGGCTCTACAAGAGGACACACTACATTACATGATCTAAAGATACACCAAAACATTTTTTTTTTTAATTTTGCCATCTTTTAAAATCATTTAACAAACACTGACACGTCTTAATTCCAACCGCAGATGGTCAACACAAAGATAAAAAGGAACAACTCAAGAAAGTTTGTGAACAACCTTTGTTTTTTCTTTTTTAGAACATCACATTACCCACACCACTATCAAGAACATATACAGAAGTGTATGCATCTCTGCTGTTATATTTTAATATTCCCCGAAATTAAATATTTTTCTATTTGACTTTGTGTTATTGTTCATTTTATTTGCAAGGTCACATTGTTGCATTCGAAATACCTTTTCCTCGGTTCTTTTGTTTACTAACACCATGCATACAAAATGTTACATTTTAGAGATGAAGGCAAACTACGTTGGAACGATAATTCGTAACCCTAAAGTCAATCATTACAACCACAGTGTAATGATTTTAAGGCCTATGGGTTGAAAACTGTGACTTCAGTACATGTTATGCATAACAGTCCAATTTCATGAATTCAAGTGTTTAGAGTAACTCAGATATAGCTGCAATATAATCGCATTTTGAGATGGCCTCATAAATTGACATAGCTGTTTCCTTTAACACTACAGTAAAATAGACAGCAATCTTCCCAAATAATTCCTTTAGAATTAAATACGCTGTTTCATCAGGGTGAAAAATTGTGTACACTAACAATATTTGTATACCACCTATACATAAAGCGAGAAAAACATCATACGAACACTACTCTCTTCTGGTCATGCATTGCACATACACGTATAACAAGCATACTTCTACTCATTTCTTTGTTGGGAACAAACCTTACTCAGATTTTTCAAGTGCACATGGTTCATCAATTTTGCACCAGCTTTACACGTTTACTACTTTATAAGTAAAAGAGGACAACCAGATGCTGCCATTCAAAGGTAACTTTCTAAATATTTTGATGCCCTTGGCAGAAAAACGGTTCGAATTTTGAGGCAAAAATATCTGCCTCAACCTTCCTACCGTCTAAATACAGGAAATCTGTATACTAGGCATTATGACTCATATACTGCATCCTTCTATAGCAGCCCTTATTGTAAGAAATCCGTGTCCAGACAGTCATAGGAAACGAACTACACAATGAGAACAATACAATCACAGACTGAATACTCTGTGTCAGTGATATGCTAATCAGATCCTTGAAATAACACATTGCAACCAAATCTGATCGAAATGAACCAAGAAGCGCACAGAGCAAACAGATGAATGCACTTCTGAAAGGCTGAGGTGTTAATCTGGGAGCGCGATTGTCAATCTTTTCATATGGGGCAGAAATGAAGGTTTCTCTTTGCAGTGGTAAAGCAGATGAAGCAGCTCAAAGTGCTGTTTGAATAAAGTGCTTCCTGTAGGAGGTGTCTGTTGTAGATCAGCATCTTAACACTAACCCACAGAATGTACCCATAATTCAGTCATATTCTGCTAAAACATATAAATACTCTCTCACACACACACACATGCTTACGAACGCAGAAAAAAAAAGACGTGCTGAAACGAACTGCTTTTCCCGTCAGCTGGACAATAATTACAGTACAAATAAACAGAAGCCAACTCGAGCCAGACATAAAACCAATGAAAATACTCATTAGTTGTGCTTTAATGAGAAAACAACTGCCTAGATGCATGTATGTCCATGCCTCTAAATGCTACAACCCCAGGAAAAAGGTTTTAGTAAAGGCAACTAGTTAACAAATGCTGTGTTTTCATAATAGTACACTACTGCTTATATTTTATTTGAATGAAATTCAGTATGCAAAATGCACTTTGCATAGTAGGCCCAATTTCAATGTAGACTTTAAAACTGTTCGCCAAAATCTGCAAAAACCATTTCCTGCAATCCAATGAATTTGAAGTGAAGGACATCTGAGGATGCTGCAATTTGCTTGTTATTTTTGTTAAATTTGATCATATACTATTTAAAAAATGAATGATTATGTATTAGTTATGCAGTAGAATATGTGTATGACAATAAGTATATTTAAACAGCCATTGTTTTGAGAGGAATGACATCATGGCAAATGCATTGAAACTTTTTTTAGGTTAGTGTAAATCCAGTGTGACAATTATTTTCAGCATTTCACATAAGACCACATATCCCTGCAAACCAAACTAAACTAAATTCTATTATTTTAAAACGAGCCTATTTGTTTGCTTTGCTTTTGCACAGTTCTCGTTTAACCTCACTGACAGGGAAAAATAATATATTGCACACCTATCAAGAATGATTTTTGTCTCATCAGAGAGATGGATATAATTTAAATCCATTAGCCTATTTAAAGCCACTTTTAAAAACGTAAAACGTTTTAAAAAACTAATCTTGTTGTGTCCGTTTATTTATGCTAAAGCATGGCCACACAATGTCATATATTTGATGCTTATAGTTCAAGCAGCCTCATTATGTTAGGTATATTTCATTAGGCTAGTGTGTAAATAATTCATCCAAATATTGTAAATATTAATGCACTTTTTGGTTTCTAATTTCAAACGGGGAAAGCTGTATTTGTGCAATGGCAAAATGCTGCAGTTCTCCTTATCACTGACAAAGTCAGGCTTAAAAAAAAAAAAACTTCACTTTGGACCATCAAAATACTCCGCACTCGATCGTGTGCAGTGCATTTCTGATATAAGTGCTTGATAAGACCTTAATTATTTGATACCCAGTTTTGAGAAATTGCACAGCAGCCCCACACATGTTAAGCCTGGGAAGAAGTATTGGATGTAATAACACCAAATCCTAATGCTTTACTAAGCACGCTGTCTCTCTCACACACACACACACACACACACACACACACAAATGAAAGACTGCACCTGTCCGGCACCGGTCGCGATCGTCCGCTAGTACAGCAGGAGGCTAGAAGTACAACTAACAACAGAAATATCAGAAGTAGTTTGCGTCAATCCTCGTGCTCCTCCGTGTCTGTGCTCTTCTCTTTATGGCAGGGGAAGATGGGCCGCCTGTATGTCTGACGGTTTTCCGCTCGCGTA